CATGAGATCTGTTTTGCAGAAAAATGTTATTTTTGACTACTATGGCAGAGTTCACCATCATCATACAGCTTCTATTAAAATCATCAGCTTGGCTTTGACACTGAAGTTACATCACACTTGTTTTTATCTCTGACTTCTCTTTGCTGTACCATGCAAACCCTTACTACTTTCAGTCTCAGGGCAGTAAAGATCTACCCTTCCATTCCTTCTCTCCCCAGGGTCAGCACAGGCTTGTGCTCCCCTCCATAAGAGAAGCCTCAGTGGCTATGCAAACCAGATGGTCACCAGTCTGCTGGAGAGCCCGGATGAATGTTTATGTACTAAGAAAGGTCCACCTTTCCCATTACCTAGTTTTTCTACCTATGGTGATCTTGCATGATCTAGATTTCAAGATCTCTGCATCAGGGAACTCTTTTTTTCACTCACAAGAGCCTGGACAAATTAGTTTCCACTTATTTTCCTCACTATCAGAGCAAATGTACTGCGTTCTATCAACTGTTTATTGGTATTGTTTGAAGCACTACTTATTCTGTATGAAAGAAACAAGCAGCGTTGATGAGACACAGGATTAGTTTGTATTTCAATTCACCAACTGGGAGATCTTTGTTTTTAGATTCTTTTCCTGCACAAATTCTGGAAACATTCTTATCTGAAAATACACTGCAATATTTGCACCCAGTTTGTTGTTTTAGCATCCCGCCTTTAACATCCTGCCAATTGCCATTTCAACTGGAATATCCATGGTAACAAATGCAGAAGGCCAACAAGCACAGAGTTCAGAGTGGTTTCATCTACCCCTGGGCTGGCCTGCTTCTTGTATGTGCACCAACAAGTCCTTCCAGGATAGCAGCAGCTGTTGAAATGATCTTTTGTAAGTCATTAGTAAATTAACGCTTCCACTTTTCTGGTATTTAAAAGGGAGATGGGACCTCCCCTTAGGACTGAGAGTATTTAGAGCAGTATTCCTCTTTGCTTCCCACTATGGATGCTGAAGTACAAAAGAAAGACACACTCCTTGCATAGATTCTGTTGCATAAAAATTAAGTTTTTTTGGCACTGAACACAGGAATGCAAAACCAGTCTTGTATTTTGTCCTTCACTAACTAAATGTAATAGGTTTTTTAAAACCTTTTGTAAGTTTCTACTTTAAGTTTCACACAGATGGTTCTTGTAGAAGCTGAGAGTTTGACCTTATCTAGTTTTGCCTGAGACACAAGGCTGTCTTAACTCTGTGGACACACTGGTGCCTTAACCGATGTAGATGGATCTCATGAAATCTGTTAACTGACAGATAGAGCAGTTTACAACAGTCTGAAGTAAACCTGTAGCTTTTGAGCTGCATGTGACTCAGTAGCAAGTCAAGTATGGCTCTTATGCCAGGGCTATGTTACAGATGTTAATTATTTCAGGTTCTTAGCTGTAAAGGGAAATTAGGGAATGCTGAAACCTGTATTGCTTTGTGGGATGCAGCTGTGCATTCAGCCCTATCCCATCACACAGCGGGGGAGCAGAATCCCCTTGAGTGCTATCAGTATGTTACTGCCAATGCAACAGTCCCACAATTGCATTCTCTCAGCTCACTGAGGTAGGTAGGTCTTGGCAGGCTAGTCTGAAGTGCTGGCCAAACTGTGTGCTCCTACCAGTTCAGTTGTCTGGGCTATACAAATTTGACTAGAATCACACAATTCAAGCACAGCAGTTTCTGGAGCCAGTGGCACAGGTGGGAGTGACACAGCTGACAGCGTGTCACTCTTCCTAACTTATTTTGACTTCCTATACCAGGAAGGCATTAACAATGAGGCTGTTACTTCAGAGATGTCTGGTGTGATGCTCAACACAAATTCCTACAAGTGTACCTAAAGCAAGAGACTCGCCAGAATGCCGGTTGCCTTCTCCCTGGCCCGGAAGATGTTCACACATGCAGGACAGAACAAAATCTATTTCAAAACAACACCTTGTGTTCGTAAGATACTGTACACAAACAGTGCTGTGATGAAGCCCCTGTGCAATCAGAGTGAAGCTGATCACAGATCACGCATATGCTGTTTATAAGCATTTGCATACCATTATAGTTTGCAGTAATTTGAATGATACTTTGACCATCATTTATTTTCCTCTGAAGTGCCCATAATCTTGAAAAGGGTTCAGTGAACACAATGAGGTTTGGTTCTGGGTATTGGCTGGGAAGAGCTGAGCAAATATCAAGATATTTACAATACACCTGAGTACTTGTTATTTTTTACCTAATCAGAACTTGCCAAACAAGAAGTTTTCAGAAGCCACCAAAAAAGTAAGTCAACTTAATGTGACTAAGCACCCTTACTTTCATCTTTATCTCAATTTCAAAATACTTCAGTCACTTAGTTACCTGAAAGGTAACCCAGCTATGAAATCCTGCCATAACTGCTCTTTACTGAAAATGACACCACACCTTATTAATCCCTGCGGGGGCAGGGCAGGAGAAGAAAAAAAGTGAGAAATCTCCTTCAACTAAAGCCTGGAATGTCTTGCAGCCAACTAGATGACGCTAAAGCAAGTATGCCTAAGTACATTTACAGTTCATCATGCTATTAGCCATACTTGAAAAACACATAGTTTAAACTAGCATTTATTAACTATGTGTACTACACATTGCCAGTATTTATTTTCTGAAACACAAATTTCCCTATTGAATTTGTGGCATCATGTTTTCCACAGTCTCTTAATGTTCACGTGAATCAAACAACGTTGTGCAGACTCCATACCTCCAAATTGCAAGCTAGGCTGGTGAGTCAGCTCCACACACTGTAATACCATCAAAGCAAGACAAGTGCAGCACTTCAAAGGCTGTCACTTATCAGAAATCTGACAGTAACACCACCTGAAATATTTTTTATAGATCCCAGATACAGCAAAAGCAATATGTAATATCCTAGATTGATTTATCAGAGTATGATTCAACGCAGAACAGAGATGAGAACTGCAGGGTATCAAGTATTTGTTAAATACAATGATTTTTTCCTCTACAATATGACAGTTTGACATGATAAAAGCAGCTGACGAACAACACTGAAATACAACTAAAACTACTGTAGTAGCTAATGTGAATGCAGGTTGCATTTACAGTACACTACACTACATGTAAGCACCATGAACAAGAAGATTCCTGCCCCACAGTGATACAACAATACATTTCAGCTTTTAGGTTACATTGTCAAAGCTTTAAGCTATTATTTATCTCTGTTGAGGTACCTTGTCTTCATTTCAGCGCAAGATTTCAGCTTTCAAATGCCTAAACTTACAACTGAATGCTGAATACATTGTCCTTACATTACGTTCCAGCATGTTACTTTTCAAATTAGATTTGTAGTATGACTAAGAGAACAGTTTGTTTTTCCATTCTTAATCTCCAGTATATACTTTAAATTTTCCCTCTGAACAGTCACGCTAGGCAGCTTGCATTGGTAATAGCTGTGAAAAGCAAACTTGGAAAGTAAATGGGCAACAAGTATTCAGACCTTTCAAAGCACTACAGTAGTTTCAGAAATACCTTTTAAATATGCAATTCACTCTGCTTACTGGCAGGTTTTACATAGCTACAGTCATGTTTCTAGCTTTTATTGTTTTATAGACTGCACCTATCTTCTTTATGTATTTAGAAGTAAGGCAAACTTACTTTGTTTCACAAGGAAAGTTTTCCAATTACTAAACCAGTACATGCAGATTTTAAAGGGTTGTGAAAGTTCCTACTACTTGCTATTGGGAGAAATAGACAGCTGCTGCTGTTTTCTTTTTGTCTTCTGCTGAACAATTTAACCATAATTTTCACAATCTATTTTCATTTTCATCCATAATTTCTAAGGACAGCAGTCAGTTTATTCAGTATATGTGGTTACTCTGGCAGCTCCATATTTATCAAAACAATCTAATGATTTTTTAATACTGACAAATTTTACATGAAATGAACAGTTCTGGACCAAGTAAGCTATGCAATAAAATAAAAGCTACGCCTGATTGGTACCACAAAGCAGAGAATTGACAAGAGTATCCAGTTATTAAACATGACACCAACTACAATTGTTTTACAGTACCATATATAGCCATGCACTGGGGGATTCTTCTTCCTGTGACCTGGATCATATAACAGAGCTGAGAAATCTTCAGATAGTTTCTATATTGAATGATTCTTCTGTATTTCAGTTCTCAATACTTTTTATGATAGTAGCACTGACACATCAGGATTTTTCCAGAGGTGACAGTTTCTGTGGTATGAACTCACAGGAGAATCCTCCACCAAGGAAAGCAATGTATTCCAGGCAAGCAGCCCTGGCACTGTCCTGCTGCAATGTAGCAGTGAGCCTAGCAGTGAAACCTGGTACATACTCCGTTAATGTACGCTCCATGTTAGCAAGGTATCACTGGGTTGGAAAGGGGGCTGTTGTCTACCACTTTTCATAAGAATGAGGGAATTGTAGCAAAAAACAAAATATACCATGGAAACCCAAATTTCATATAACTAACCAACACTGATCTATTTTCAAGCAGACACCTTACACAGTATGAGTTAAACTGCAATAACAGGAACTCACATGACGTTTTTTTCCCTCAGTGGATGACTTCCATGCTCCTTTTTGAACATACTGCACTAATGAAAATTTAACAAAGTGTTTCATAGTCCTTTTCCCTTTTAGCTCTGCAAGTGCATAATTTCTTCTGCAGTTAGGGATTAATTTTCAGGGACATATCTTTTTCCCTTTGAAGCCAAAAAGCAGTCAGGAAACATTAGAGGGAAATAGGAGCCACAGTCTACAGCTTTTTTCAGGGTTTCTTTCTCTGAGATCTTAAAAAAAAAATAAAAAAAAAATACAAGAAATGGACCAGAGAACATGGGCTCCTCCTTCCTCATATTTCCTTTCTACTTCCCGAAGACTGGCTTTGTCTGTAGCCAGTAAAAGTAAGCAATAAAGAAAGCAAAATGCAACCCAAACCGAGACTACAATGACTAATTATTCTCTTTCCAGGTGCTTTCCTCATTCCCTATATCCTCTTTTTAATCATTGCTGGAATGCCCCTGTTCTATATGGAATTAGCACTGGGACAGTATAACCGAGAAGGGGCTGCCACTGTGTGGAAAATCTGTCCAGTTTTCAAAGGTAAGTGCTCCTCTGTTCACTTGAATAGCACCGTGAGGGTGCCACACATTTGTGGTCACAAAGTAAAGGTCTCTCATCTTCCCACAGACAGCATGATATTTGCTGACCTTTCCCTAACCCTTGAAGTCAGAAGTCTTTTTATTATCACAGGTGGAGCACAAAATGGGAAAAGCCACAGAAATCAGGGTGATTGCTGAGGAGTGAAATAGAGAGCAGTGAGCAGGAGCAGATCATACGTTTTCTCCCTTCCCTGCATACTGAGGTGTGGGAGGAACTGGGTACCTTGAGGTAGAGGGAGGGCTTGGCAATGAGAACAGCTGGAAATTCAAAATCCCACACAGGTCAGTTGTTCAACTCTGTCTTCCCTGGTGACTAATATAACCACTGACTCCATTCAGTTCATTGTGTGGAGCTCTGCAGAAGTCAGCATGCCACAGTGGCTAGAACACTCAAACGGAGTTGTGAAGGCTGTCATTCAGCCACTAGACCTGTAACCTCACACCAGTTATTGGTGGCTCTGTACTTCAGTTTTCCTACCTATGAAATGTGGGCAATTATTCCAATAGACTTTGTAAAGTGGTTTTCAAATCTAGCAATAAAAAAACACTCAATAAAACATGAATTTTACTATTACTGTTGAATGTTTTCCACTAGGGATAACTCTCCAGCATCACTGAATAAAAGGCTGTAGATTGTTGTCTGGTGCGCTAACTTGCAACCATTCTGTAAGCTAAAACCAGCCCAGGTTAGGTATTTGGATACTGATCAGTGTGTCTGGCACTGGTTAGGGGTAAAGGAATCCCTTTGGGCAAAAGAAGCCATATGCTTTCTGTACATGAAACAGATACCTGTTAAGGAGCTTCAAGAATCTTCTTAAGCATTGCTTACCAGTAAAAATTGTAAATTCACTTATATCTATACCAGGTTGTATCTAAAAACTTATGTAAAAATCTTTTCAACACAGAGCTATCTGAAATGAAACCATTCAAACTCAGTTGACCTTACATCCTTAAAATTCAGACCATGTTCATCCTGTAACTGATAAAAGCTGAGGAGCTTAACAATACAATACAGACTTGGTGGATCCGCTGCTTGGATATAGGTTACACTGAGTAAATGTTAATCTTTCTCAAAATACAGCTTTCCTCTTCAAGGAGTCTAGTGCAGAATAAGAAAACTGTGGGTTTTTTTGTTATCATTCACACCCAAAACTCACAGCAAAGTTAAGAGAGATAAAAAATAAATAAGAACATTAATAAAATATATGCTCCTCAATTTTAAAATTAATTCATACAGACCTAACCCTTCTATAATCCCTTCATGGGAGGCAAAACTCATCCCAGCACCTGAGAACCTGAAGACCCTTGCTCAGTGAAAATTCCTGCCAGTATCAGTTAATGCCTTTGGATAGCAGTGAGGATTCTGAAAACCTAACTGAAAAATTAGGCCTTAAGGATCTCAAAGTGCTTGAGCCAAATACAGCTGTGCTCAGAGGCACTCTGTTGATTTCAGGATTGAAAATATGAGAAAGGAAAATAGAACTTATTTCATGTATAGTCTTGTTGACTTTATGGCTGTGTTTTTAAGCTGACATTTTCAAGGTGGACTAAACATATCTTACTGTTGATTTTTAAGTGTTCTTGTTACTGGGATATAGAATAGCGTAAGTTATTTGATTCTTAAAAGGTAACAAGCACTGAGTTGTATTTGCACCTCAGGACTAGTATAAACTCAGTACTTTTAAAGTTTGCACCACATCTTCTGATAACATGCAAACAGATTTTACTGCTAATGCTTTGGTGTTGTTTCTGGGATAACTCAAAACTCTCACTCAAATAAAAAGTACACAGTCTACACAAATTTGTAACAGGTTCTCTAAAGCAACAGCACTATAGTACTAATTTTAGCTATGAATATTATTGCTATGAACTCTAAGGGCTTTACTTCTAATGAGATTTCTCATAACATGTGCAATTAAAAACATAACCTGCATCTTTTACAACAGTCTGGTTTCATCTCTGCATTTTCCAGGGTCTGTTTCAGAGTGTGAGTGGTCCAGAATTACTTTTAGGAAAGCTAGATCTAGAAACACGACAGCAAATTCATTCCTGAATAGTCTCATTATTTCAGTGGAGTGACAGTTAAGATACAGTTTTTAATCTTGATAAATCTAAATATCTATCATTGTTCTCCTGAATTGGAGGAATTTTAGCAAGACTTTTTAAACAGAAATCATGAAATTTCAGTGCAGCATATATTACTTAGTATTTTAGTATCTTAGCATTCACATTAATATTTAAGAATGATCCACTTCAGTGATTCCCCAGCTCTACTCCATTCTGTTGATCATAACATCACTAGAGTTTGAGTGTTACTGTACTGGATTAATTTAAGCACCAAGATTTGAAGTTACAATTTCTTTTTTACTTTCACAATGTTTTCCCCAGTGTTAGGGATGAGCAAACTGGTCTATGTATTAAAAGCCTCCTGAAGAGCAAAGAATAACTCTGGTGTATGCAGCAGTCTCTGAACTGCCAACTCCTTCAGGGTCAGCATCTGTTCCTCAGGCAGTTTCTAAACCAAGGATTGATACCAAAAGTGTATGCTACTTCCTTGCCTTATCAAAAAACATGAGGTTTACACATACGTGTTGTGACAGTACAGTGATGATAGTCATAAAACAGCAGTAATCTCCGCATACAACTTCTGGGTAGGATTCAGAGAACAATGTTGTGCTCACAGTAAAGGAAGAATAATGTAAGCCAAGGTAAAGCAAGCTTCCTGAAAAGTCTGGCAAGAAACTGTAGCTCTGCTTTCATATTAGTACCAAAGGTTCCCCCCAAACTACTTAAAAATGTCCATTTTCCTGAGGAGAACATGCACTCTCTGAGACTCTCTCATTTTTGGGACCCTCCAAGCACACTTCACAGTACACAAAAACACAAAACAAATATTAAAAGTCAAAAGAGAATTCTTGCAGTGGGGATTCTGTAATCCTGGGGAGATAATTATATAGTGTGAAGGTCCACATACAGTTTAGCCCTAAGCTTGATATTCACCAAGATTTACTGGCGTGCCCAAGAACCCCTTGGAGCCCCTCAGTGGAACAGCACAGACTGCTTCATGTAAGTTTTGGACCTAGTCACATGCTGAAGGAAGCCAATCTGAAGAGTAACAATGGGAAAGAAACAGGGGAGGGATCAGTGTCTGTTCCAAGCTAGCTCAGGGTGGGAACGTGAGGCATAGGGAAACTTCACTTAAGTGTCGAGCTCTACTTTTCCAAGAGAAGTTGCCAAGGTCTCTGACATTAGGAAGATGAAGTGAGTTTCACTCCTAACATGGACTTGCAGTCTTGTGCATTGGAAGCAAATCAGCAACAGAGTTGTACAAGAGCAGATTTTGACATAACACTGCTTAATTTCTTTTTCTGGTAAACAACTGGATTTGCCAACAGCCAGTCATTTTCCAAAATCATTAACATAATTTTTTGGATTAAGGTCAGTGACACTGTTTCTACATGTGTGTACAAAAATGTCAAAAAAAATCCTTTTATTAGTTTGAAGACCTAAAATGAATTTGCAACTATGTATGGCTGAGTAACTACAGTGTTTGCGTATACTGCTGCTTGTAAAACACGATGTATAATCTAGTTTTCCTTTGTCTTTAGGTGTAGGCTATGCAGTGATACTCATAGCTCTTTATGTGGGATTCTACTACAACGTTATCATAGCTTGGTCTCTGTATTACCTATTTTCATCATTCACATTTGAGCTCCCCTGGACACACTGTGACAACAGTTGGAACAGTCCAAACTGCACAGATCCCAAACTCTTCAATGCATCAGTGCTTGGCAACGGTACCAAATATTCAAAGTACAAGCTCACTCCTGCAGCTGAATTTTATGAGTAAGTGTTGACTTAACTTCATTTTATTTAATCAGAATTCTATGTCTGTGAATGTTTATTCTGGGAGATAAAAACTTAGCATCCAGCCTCTAGAATAAGCGTCAGAAGGCTAAGGTTAAAATGCATTTGTAATGTTGATCTGTATTCCCTTGTGATTGAGACTCTTGCCTCTGTGAGGTTTGGTTTCTCCTGTACAAGTGCAATACTTGCCAGTGAGCAAAATGGAATTGGACAAAAGACACAAATCTTCCCCAGTGTACCACTGTTGCTTGCACCAACTGCCAGGGAACACAACAATATTTTGACAAAAACGAACTCCAAACTGAGCTGACTTTAGGGCTTTAAAGTAATTTGTTCAACAGGCTTGGCCCGCTTCTCTACTTGCAAAACATTTGAAAGTAGTTCTCTGCTCAGCTGCTTCAATATTTCAATGAAGCAAGGGGAAGCACTGAGCTGGAGGAGAGCGACCCAACTGTAAAAGGTGGGCTTTTTCCAATTCCTAAGCAAAAGGGCATTCTGCAGTATGGGCCAAGACAGGCAAAGAGGCTCAAATCAAACACATGGAATCAAAACCAGAAAGGTATCTAAATTAACAACCAAACTAAAATAAAACAAAAACTTCGATCTGTGAGTAAATAATTGTATTATGAGCCTCTTGGGGAAAATGGGTTTTGATTAGGATAAAAAAAGGAGGAAAGGCATCAGGATTGAATCAGCTTTTGAATCAATCTGAATAATCAATCGATTATTTCTTTGTTGGGAATGGAACGGTATCAGGGCACACACCTGCTGAGTAGTGCATCCAACCATGTAGAAACAAAGGGACACAACTGTTACAATAAATAACGTGGTGTGTGTTACACCATGCATTGCTACAGCAGGGATCTTGGAGTCTGCGTTTATAGTTCTGAAACATCTGTGGCTATTTGTCCTCTGAGGCCAGCACAGTGAAAGATCAGGAGCGATACACAAACTGTTGGCAGGGGTTTGGGTAAACTAAATTCAGCGCTTTGAAAACAATAAGAGGAGTTGAGTTCAAAGGAGCTCACTACAATGGCAAATAATGACAGCCAGGAAATCTACTGCCCTTACAAAGACAAGATGGGATGTGTTCATAACTCAAATGTAAAGCTAGATCATTTATAGCAAAGGGCTATGACATGTAGTCAGTTAACAAACCTGACTTTGAAGTGAACTATAAGAAACTATATATTCAGGATCTTCAAAGAACTGCATCATTACTGAACTTTGATTTGAACAACATTTTAAAAAAGATTTTCTTTATCATTTTCTTGAATTTATGCCTTTGCAAAGCAACACACAATCCCTATATTATTTCTTTGCTCCTTTATGACTTAAAGTAGTTCTATGCATTTTCAGTTATCACATCGTGCTTGGGGTACAACTTTGTAGTGGGTGAGACTGTGGTAGAATCTATTCACAGTGTTTGGATTTAGTTCCACTGTTCTGGGAAACAACTCAATTTGTGACTTTGCCTGTACACTGAAACATTAGGCTCCTTTCCTCACATGAAATAGATTCAAGGTACAGTTTTCAGAAGATAAGAATAAAAAGTGAATGTAACATTTTGTTATGCTTTGATACCTGAATTCGGGGGCTGCAATTAAGTCTACAGGCCCCCATACTTACTGGCAATTACATTATGTTGCAAAAATGGAAGTTTATATCGGATATAAGGCAGAAGTTCTTTACTGTGAGGGTGGTGAGGCACTGGAATAGGTTGCCCAAGGAAGCTGTGAATGCTGCGTCCCTGTCAGTGTTCAAGGCCAGGTTGGACAGAGCCTTGGGTGACATGGCTTAGTGTGAGGTGTCCCTGCCCATGGCAGGGGGGTTATAACTAGATGATCCTAAGGTCCTTTCCAACTCTAGCTATTCTATGATTCTATGATTCTAATAACCACCACTCGAGTAACACAGAGTGTAACTTGCTTCGCCAGCTGTAAAAACAGGGAGCCACAAGGGGCATTGTGTTCACTTACCCAGTATTTGGATTAGCTCATCAAGCACAGCTGTACAGCTCAGGTGTGGACCTAAACTTGTGCAAAGTTTTAGTGTATTCAGATCCAACAAACCAAAGACAGCCCAATTCAGAAAACAGTGTTTCTGCTTTTTACAACAGGGACAGATGAATCTTCTGATTATAAAGTTTCACATTATGTGCAACAGGGTCGAAGCAGAAGTAATGATGTAATATTAAATTTGCATCGGTATAGTGCCTTTCCAAAATGATACACCATTTTTGGATTATGTTAAATAGTAGCTCAAGTAAGGGTCTTGGCTGGCTACATTCCCTCTGAAAACTCGGTAAATAAAGTAAAGTAAAGTAAAGTAAAGTAAAGTAAAGGCTGAATATTCCCTTATCTTATTGGGTACCCTTATGCCAGATTGCACTACTGCTTGAATGACTGCTGAATTTGACCCGAGTGTTTATGTGGAATTCCATCTGATTCTTCCTGGTAGTAGATAGCCATTAGTCACTTCTTTATCAACACATCTCTGCTGGAGGAGAACTACAGTTCATTTGGTTTCCAAATTCTATGATCATGTTTACTTTCAAGGTTTGTACTGCTATCCAAATATTCAAAACCCACCTGGGCATATTTCTGTGCAACCTGCTGTAAGTGGCCCTGCCTTGGCAAGGTTGTAGACTAGACAATCTCCAGAGGTCACTTCCAACCCTAATGATTCTGTGACTCCGTAATCCAGTGGTGCAAGATATTAACAATAACAGAAACAATTATTTTTGCAAAAATGGATTTAATATGGCAGATTTCAAATGTTGAGATTTTATCAGTTAAATAGAGAAACAAGAAAATAGAGCAGCTACTTTTATAACAGAGGGAAATCAAACTATGCCACTCAAATTTCAGTGGGATACTTATGGAATCCCAGCCCCAGCACTAACAGAGCAACATATGATAATTAGCATCATTAAAACAAAGACTGAAAACTGGTGCCCACTGTAAAAATGGCATGAAAATGAGTGATTTTATTAGTTGGGGTGACAATAGGTTCCATTGTTCCATTGTTCTCCTTGGGAGCTGTCGTGGTTTAAACCCAGTCAGGTAGCTTGTTCACTCACTCCCAGTGAGTGGTGCCGAGCTGACAACAATCGAGGTCCGTGTCCGTCTCCCCCCCCTGCCTCCCCGCACCGGGGCTCTCCCCTTCCCCGCTCCCGGAGGAACGGGGAGGAGGATCGAGAGAGTGCAACTCCTACGGGTTGAGACAAAAACAGTCCAGCAACAAATCACCACCGCTACTATCAGCTACAACAATGATAAGGGAAAATAACAAGGGAAGAGAATACGATACCACCGGCCAAGAGAAACGAGCTCCACCCGGAAGCCCCTGTCCTTCCGGGTAACTCCCAGTTACCCCTCACCCCGGGCATGACGTGCTGTGGTATGGAATACCTCCCCGGCTAGCCCGGGTCAGGCGCCCCGTCTCTGCTTCCTCACAGCCTCCCCTCCTCCCTGGCAGAGCATGAGCCTCACAGAGTCCTTGGTCAGGGTAAACATCACTTAGCAACAACCGAGAACATCGGCTTCACCAACACTGTTCTCAAACTGGAAGTCAAAACACAGCACTGTACCAGTTAACACAAAGGAAAAACATGACTGCTACTGCGGAACCCAGGACAGGAGCCTATGGGAGATCATCCAATTTGGAGTATTTGGGGTCATCTTTTCAACCACAATAACTTGCTTCTGAAATGTGCTAGAGCTTATGGAAAACTTGTTAAGGATGCTAAATGCACCTCAGCACTTGAGCCTTCAACCTCAAGACTAAATGGGAAGTGGTACACCTTGAACTTGGTTCTGTAGGATGTATACTTACGTCAAGAACATATGAAAACATTTGCCTTCCAGTGGGCAGGCAGAACTGGAAGCAGGGAGGCCAGAAACATAAATATCTATTTAACAGTTGGAGAATTACTGAGAAAAGGTACGTCCAGAATGGGCCACAGAGAACTGATGTCATTACCCTTAAGAGAAACAGACACTTCTGTCTGGGACATGATTCCTTCACACAAAGATGACCTGACTATGAATTTAGAGTAGATTATTTCCTAAAACCATGCAGCTGCCAAAGCTGACTATCTCTACCTGCAGAGAAATAAACTGTTGGAAGGGGTGGAAGTATTGTGATGTGATGGTTCGTCTAATACTTTAAGAAAGACACTGCTAAGTTCAATAGAAATATGATGATTTTCAGCACTGACATTCAGTCAGAGACAGGAACACTTGCTAAGAATCTAGAACAAATCTTTCAGGTCCAGCATGAGAGAAAGCAGGGAGAAACCTCTAAATTTCAGACTTTGAAGAAATCCCTCAAATTTCAATTTCCATGCCAAGGCAGTGACAGGCAGACTTTGACAAGCATGTTTGGCTTTAGTTATTAAGCCTTAAGAGCTGGGCAATAATTCAGGTTGAACTGGTTCTACGTGTAGGTTTTCTAGAGTGTTTCACTTCACTAAATCTGGTTTCAGTCATTCAGGCTTATCTGAGGCTAAGGTGCCACTGACATCCACAGGACAGTTGCTTACGACAGGAAGAAATGGGACCTCTACAATACTTCATTAGAGACAGTACAAATCATTTGGGAAGCATTTGTACACTGCAAACTTAGCAAAGGGAGCACTCCACAATCTGGAAACAACTTGTGTTCTTCTGGTAGTAATAGAATCAGAGAATCATAGCATAGTTAGTGTTGGAAAGGACCTTAAGATGATCTAGTTCCAACTCCCCTGCCATGGGCAGGGACCCCTCCCACTAAACCATATCACCCAAGGCTCTGTCCAACCTGCCCTTGAACACCGCCAGGAATGCAGCATTCACAACTTTCCTGGGCAACCCATTCTGGTGCCTCACCACCCTAACAGGAAAGATTGTATCCAGTCTAAACTTCCCCTGTTTAAGTTTTAACCCATTACCCCTTGTCCTATCACTGCAGTCCCTAATGAAGAGTCCCTCCCCAGC